TACAAGAAAAGACGCCTTTTTTTTTTTTTTGGCCAGTGTAGCTTTTTACTGTGTTTATTTCTAGTTGAAGGTTACCTTCTTCCTACATAAACTTTTAAAAAGGAAAGAAATAAAAAGAATAGTATATGGATGGAAAGGTAGAGCCTAGAAATCTTAGTGCAATTGCAGGAGGTGTAGGAACTGGGACTCCTTGACCACTATCAGTAACAGCACCAAGTCTACACTTCACATTCTGTTTTAGGTACTGAACTTTATTGCAACTGAATAAATGCTTCTACATATAAGTCACACACAAAGCATCAGTTTCTATATTCCATGAAAACAAATGACAAAGTTACGCTACATGGTTATTACAGACACACAAAGGCATGTCAAAGCCAGTGCAATATAAAACAGTACTACAATCATAATACCTTTTTGTAAGATTAAATATATATACATTTTTTAAAAGCCAAAACCATGGAAGTGGAATACATTAGTGATTAAATACAAGATTATATAATCTATAGCAGCTTTTTTTTTTTTTAAATACCTAACTACTCTAGTTATCTAGCAGCAATGTTGTCTAATGACTGTTAGACAGTTTTTATTTTCAATCAGTAGATGTTTAGTTCCAATATTTCATACAGACTGTAGGTATCGCTGGTCATCACATTAGCATGAACAAAGAAGTTCCTATGTAAAGCTGTACTGATGTTTGTAATTACAATACTGCAACTTCAGAAAGTCATGTGTTAATTGTCTCCTTCATATTAGGGAGTACAACACAGGCTTCAGTAATACTTTTTTTCCTCCAATACAGACTACAGATGCGTGGAAATTTCCAGGAGGTCTGTCTAATCCAGGCGAAGACATTGGTAAGTCCTAGGATAACAGGTCATGTGTTAACAGAATTGTGGAGACATGAACAGGACTGAAATACATTGTGACCCACATCACTCCTTTGGCAAATCACTGCTTTGAGTTGGTGAACAGATGAAGTGGTCCTGTGACCTCAATGGTAATGGGGTAACGTTATGTGCAGGGCAGAGAAGTTTTACATTTGTAACATCTACCCTTTTCCATGCCTTCTTCTCTTAATTAAGTGCTTGAAGCCAGCTTATTTTTGGTAGGCTGTTTAACATGCTGTAATGCGAGCCAAAAGTGCAGAGGATTAAGGTAATCAGGATGTAACCCAAATAAAACTGAACCAGCGATCTCTCGGCTCCCACTGGAATCCAGGGCAGTGAGCTCAATGAGGGAATGACCAAAAATTTCCAACTTTTTTTTTTTTTTTATGTGCAAAAGAGAAATAAACACACTTCCTTCCTTCCAGCCTTGTTCATTTGGTTTGTTTAGACTGTGAGCTCTTTGACACAGGACCAGAGCCAAATGCAGCACCTTGGTGTTGTGGGCACCTACTTTCAACCAGAGACATAGGGTGCTTCTGTGTTAAAAACAAGGCTTCTTTGAGGAAACCTGTAATTTCTTACCAGTGTGGCACAGGTCAGTTCAAAGGTGAATGAACAAGGGTGTTTATGAAGAGACAGAAAATTGTGCTTTTTCTCCTTGATTCTCACCCCTTAAAATTACGATCCACAGACTAGTTCATTCCTAACTTACACTGCAGTTACTAGGTAGCTCCTGTTTTCTAAAGTTATTTTTGCTGACATTCATTTAGCCCCACAGCAGGATTCAGATAGAAATTTATTCTTCCAGCAACTCAAAAATGTTGCCCAGAACAGTATAGCAGCTCTAGCAAATTAGGTATCAAGCCCAGGTTTCTACCATTTTATACCTTAGAAATACCTACTGTTTTTCAGACTTCCTACAACAACAGGTGGAACAGTATTCCAGCTCATTATTTCAATACATGGAGAAAGTTTCTAGTTAGCAGGGTATGGCTGAGCTGTAATTTTCATAAGTCATGAGTTATGTTTTAAGTCTTTTTGTCAAACAGGACAACAGAAATCAGAATTATTTTCTTGACAATGCAAATACACATACCATAGTGCAATGGATTCATGTTTTCATAAGAATTTGTTGTCTGGCCAGACTCCTTTTCACTTCTAGTGACAGAGCTTGGCTCTAGGCCAGGAGATAGGGATTTTTGTACTGAGGGAAGAGAAAACTGCCAGCATTGTCAAGAGCTCGCCCCAAGGAGCACTGCTGCTGAGTAAGGCAGTGGCCACCCCTCAAGTAGCAGGTGAGGTGATGGCTGGAGGCTGGATACAGTCATTGAGAAAGGCCTGGGAGGAAACAAACCTCTTACAGCTGCCCTCCTACCACTACTAAACTATACCATAGTACAAGTTATGATTCACTACATCACATGTTAATACTACAAGAAGATATAAATTAGTGAAGCATAAAAATACAATAGAACTTAATTTTCCCCTTTTTATCCTTACATCAAACCTTATAAACTCACAGTCATTCAAGGGACCAAGTTTCAAATTATAACTGCAAATGGCAGTTAAAATGCTTGAAGATCTGTGTTTATATGAAGTGACAAAATACATGGCTGCCTACTTTATGAGTACTACTCATGCAACTAACCTGAATAGTTTCTTAATGCGGATTAAGGAAAGTGCATGCATCTTTGTATTTGAATATTTCTGAAACTCAAGCCCTAATTTCTTCTAGCTTAACTGTCATTATATATATTTTTATATTTTATAGATATACACACACATTTAAATAAAAGGGAAACAGAAAACACACTATTTAAAAGCAAAGCTCAGAGCTTAAGTGAAATCTCTAATTATTTCATTTATCTTAACCACAGCCTGCCTCAGCATTCCTCACAATCTCAGCTGTTTACCTTCTTCGACCACTCCTGTGTAATACAGCCCCTTGACTAATAATAAAACCACTTGCCACAGGCAGTTTGCTTTGCAACCTACTCTTTCAAACCAAAGGGTTGCAGCCTCTCCAAGGGTCAGTCATGGTGAATGAGTGTCTTTCCCCATATGCAGGTGCCTTTTAACTAATTAACACTGTAACGAAGTCACAAACATAAGTGTTAGGAGACATTGCATATTAATGGACTTCCAGTCCCACAAAGACCTCTATACACCTGGTGTATGCAGCTCCTTCTACCACAAGGTGAAAGTTGAGCTGAGGCAGAAGGATGTGCAGGTCTGGGGCCATTCACATACAGCTGACTGGCCTCTGCTGGATAAATGGGTTCATATGTTGCTAGCCAATGTATGTCCACATTATTTCCAATATTTGAAACTACCCCTTAAAATGCTTGCCTGCTCTGTTCACCTCTTGACGTCACTACATGAGCTTCCATAGGAAGGCGAATACAAGTTCTCTTAAAACTTATTTTGTGTTTGAAGTAAGCCAGCACACTCATTCCATGCTGAAATGAACTAACAGAAGCAGGGAACATCACAGAACAGCTACATGCATTCACCACTCAAACAAGACACAAGAAGAAGTTTACATAGAATCAGAAAAAGCTAATATTTTACCTACCAGTATTTTACCTACCCCAGCGAGTAGGATTTGACTTGACCACAATGGAACTGCAGACTTTAGGAAAATAAGTGGAATAGAAAACGTCTTATTTGGGCTTCTTAATTTAAGTTTTTCTTACCTTTTAAGCCCCTGAAGTTAGGGTTCCTTTGATAAGGAAGAAAACTGACACCTGCATCACTTCAGTTGATGTGCACAACACATACACCTGCAGCACAGATTCCTGCAAGCACTGGCTGTGTGCTATACTGGTATTACGGCATATCTGAAATGTCACTGCACACTTGAAGTTACATCTTGAAACAGACCTAGCACCAACTTTCACCTTCTTAAAGCCATAGTTTTACCCATTTTGTTACACCTTGTGGCAAAGTACAATGGAGTGGATTTGATCAGGTGGTCTCCTCAAGGTACAGGTGTTCAGCTGCACCTGGTCTGAACCTGAAACTGGACAGAGGCAAGGAGGCAGAGAGGACCAAGATTCAAAAGGCTGAAAGGAGGGTGCAATGCTGCCCTGGATTAAGAGACAATAGAGCCAGCAACCATGAGAATGTCAGTTTCAAAACCACACCCTCTGCAGAATTACCAAAGTTTCTTACTTTCATAATTTTCTGGGATACAAACAAGAAAAGTGTGTAGCAACTAGTTTTGTTCGGTGACCAAAAAATTAGCTTATCCTTGTGTTGAAACAAATAGGCTGACATTCCAAACAGCTTACGAAGCAGAAAAGAGAACACTTTGAGTTACAGATTTTCCACACTGAGGAGGATTTAAGAGTGTTGAGCTATTCTCATATGTACTGTAAGGTTTGCTCTTTTCACCTAGGAGACACAGCAGTTCGAGAGGTGTTTGAGGAGACTGGCATCAAGTCAGAGTTCAAGTCCATCCTAAGCATACGGCAGCAACATGAATACCCTGGAGCCTTCGGAAAGTCGGATATGTACATCATCTGTCGCCTGGAGCCCTCCTCTTTCAATATTAGCTTCTGCCAGCAGGAGTGCATGAGGTGTGAGTGGATGGACCTTGGTGAGCTTGCTCAGACAAAACTCGCTACTCCCATCACCAGCAATATAGCTAAACTCTTACTGTACGGATACCGGGAGGGCTTTGACAAGATCGATATCACCATGAGAGAGTTTCCTGCTGTCTCTACAGGCCTCTTCTACAAACTGTACCACAGGGAGCTGCCTGAGTCCTATAGAAGCATAATGTGATAGCAATACATTTCACATTTCATTACAGTAATAATTTAGGAGTACTATTATTATTGCAGTGTTACAGAGATCATATCAAAATTATCCATGGATTTCTTTTTAGGTAATTATTAGAAAGTAATTGTTTATTCTCTATCAAGTTATAGAAATATAAATTATTTTTAAAGGTAAATATTGCTGTAAGTGTGCATCAGATTTGTTTTCCTTTACTCTGTAAAGTAAGCATAAGGCAAATAAAACAGCCCTACATAGATAATCTAGCACAAAACAGAAGTATTATTGATCCTGAAAATGTATCTTCCAAGTAACTCTACCTCCGCACACACTGGCACAAATGGTTTAAAGAGCAATGTAAGACAGGAGGAAACATGGTTTAATCTGGTACTTGCAAAAGTAGTGAATTTCAGCAAATAATTGCTTATGGTTTTGCTATTTCAGAGAGGACCAGGAAATTTGACATCTTCCATGTAATGTGTTGTGTGTGCTCAGAATCTGCCATGGAAATCAGCTTTTAGCTGACATAGGAAGGAAAAGAATAGCTTTCTGTCCAGGTCCAGTTTTTGGTCCAGGTTTGTACTGCCCAGTTCTTTTCAGTGCCACGTACCAATCAGAGTATTTCCGGGATCGGTAAGTGTTATAATTATTAGATTCCAGACGCTCAAAAAAGAAACATTCTTCTGTTGCACATTTCTAAAAGGGAAAAAGAAAAGGGTTATTGATATTCTGTCACAAAGCAGTTCTTCAGATTGTTACCAACAACGTGAATTAGCAGTACGTTTGGTTTTAAGAAATTCACATTAAATGTTTCATATTTGAAGAGAGATACAATTACTGTGAAAATACTGTTAAACACACCTGCAAGAAGAGGAGTTTTTAACTGTGGTTTGTTCATTGTCTTTGACACAGACCAAGCATATTCTAGTTTGGTTTCATTACATAACTCTTTGTTCTGATCTGAAATCTAGACAACTCAATGGAGAACCCTGCCCCTTGGCATTTACTGACTTCCAAAGCTCAGTAGTTTTGCCATCTCATCCTAGATTATCATTTAACCAAAAAGACAAGTGGGATGTAATAGAAAAGGCAGCCCTTCCCTTGCCTTCCTCACACCAACCTTATCATCAGTTAGATAAATCCTGTGGTAAGTTGCAGCTTTTACCTAGTCTTTTCTAATTTTGAGGTTTAACTTCCCTAAAGCTAATTCAAGTCTGTATTTACAGCAGTGGGAAACAGGCTGGTGAGCCTATGTCTGTTCAAGGCTTTTCAAAACTCAAAGCTTTAAGAAAAGATCTGATCTGGCACAGGTTTCTTCCACAGAGAGACCAAGCATACTCTACTAGTGTTTAGAAGTACATCTGTGAAGTTACTCTACTTCTGGAAGTAAGTTTTCAAAATACAACTCCACCTACACAGAATTAACATGCCTTCACACATGAAAATAAAAGAGGGTGGCTCTTCAAACAGTGGGTCAAGGCTGAGCTGTGGAGTTACAAGAGGAAGTACAGTTTCCCCAGATCATGTGGATTTAATCACTTTTGGACAAGTTGATGGAAAAGAAATTAACTGAAATTTACTGAACAGATAAAACCACTTCCTGGCTGAGAGGGCCCCAAAGCAGAAACTGGCTGGAGGCTGGGAGGCCAACACAGGGCATGACTAGGTGCATCTTTTCTTACATGCCACATCTGATCACCATCAGAGAGAAGACACTCACTGCATACAAACACTCAAAAGCCCCCCATAAGTCTGCCATTAACAACTGTAGTGTGGTGTACTTTCTGCTGCTCCCTCGGGGTGACCATACTGGGGGTAAAGAGTCTTCATTTTCAAATGATCCTGTTTCTGTTTGCAAGATAACCTGAGACAGGTATTATCTGTTGCAAGACTTTTACACCCAGGTTTTCCTGGATTGTTGTTGCTGCCTGGGGAACTTAAACACAACTGATTGAACTATGGTTACTATTTATAGCTGTTCACAGTCAACTGAAAGCAGGAAAGTTTACTCACTTTCCAAAATCCACCACCAGGAAACCACATGGTTCCTCTGTACTGAAAACATAAGAAGATGTACAAACAGCTCCAAGTAAGATCTCATCCTATAGGAAGAGAAAGACTATCAGTGTTAACTGCAGCTACCCCAAGGCATATTTGCAACAGCAGAACCCCTGTATGTGGACAGTGTTGCTCTTGTAGCAGTCACAGTGGTAAACCTGCCTGCAGAACTGGTGCTTTAAGCAAGAGAAATTATTGTCTCCCATACAAACATGGCAGAAGTTCAACACCACAGGAACTTGCAGGGAACTTGCACACATCCCCCTTCTTTTCAAATACATGGAGCTGGGCACAGAGATCAGATACCTTGCACCTGTGGAAACTACATCTTTACAACCTCCAGCAGGAATTAAATGGCTTTCAGTGCACCTCCGGTGAACTTAAGCAGCCACTATGAAGACACCACATACAGACAGAAGGCAAATTTGCACATCTGTCTCTATGCACTAAATCCACAAAGTAGACACAATGGCAACTCAAAGACGCATCAGACTTATGCATCCTTCCTCATATCTCTGTGGTTTAAAAAGTAAAACAGATTAAATTCTTCAAACAGGTTTTCAGGCAATTTATGAGTGTTATAAAAATAATCAAAGTAGGGTGAAAAAAGAAAATGAGAGAAAGAAAAAAGAAAAATTTATCTTATGATCATAAAAATATTTTGAAAGGTGCCATGCGCTTCGCATACGTGACACCAATGTTTTCCTACAGCACATTGCCAATGTAAATGTTTTGATTAAAAAGTGAATATTTAGGTGACAAGTTGTAGCATTGTCACTTAATGCTCAGACTTCATGAACTATGTATTCTTTAGCATCTGTCCACGGCAACATTTCAGAAGCTGGACTGCTGTCCAGCAGGAGCAGAATGTCCTGCACCCGCCACTGTGAGCCTTGGGCCTGGAAAAGCCCTGGGTATCAGTGGGTTTTAAAATACACTTGGACGCGGAGTGTGGGAGTTTTTAGTGTTAGCAATGGTGGTAGCAGCCATGCTTGTACTAGGGCCTGCTGTGTGCCACCACTTACAGCAGCCAAACTGTAATGAAAACCAAAATCCTCGGGTGAATCACACAGGGCAGATTAACTGACCAAAAGAAGCATCAACTTCCTGCAACAAGGTTCTTCCCCCCTCATTTGCATGGCCAAATGCCACCCACCAATTGATTCTGCAGTGCAAACCGCATCTGCCTCAGTATCACATTGTGCCAATTGACGACGTTTTGGACTCAAATTACAATTAAAATTCCTCAAGATTGTTTACTCTCAAAACTGAAACCAGCGTGTTAACCCGTGACTACCACAGCAGGTAGAGTATGGCCCAAGAAAGGTGGTGATAGTATTTAGCCCTTTCTAACTACGAAAGGGCCAGTAAATGAAAGTTATTCTCACAAATATTCTTGTACCACAATTTTAATCCATAACATCAGGAGAGTAGAATTTCCCTTCATGTCTGGCAACACCTGTCTGGTCATAGCAAAACCACATAAGCATGACAGACAGAGCTAACATGTCATACCCAAAATATCAAATTATTTCTTGTGAAATTTCAAAGTTCAATTCTTCCTTTCATGGGGAATTTTGAGAAATGTCTTCATGAAATTAAACAATCAAACACATTCTGTAATATAACCTGCGGATGAAGCACTCCATAGACAGATAGGAAAAGCCTCACTCTCGCAGGCCCTTGTTCTCATGGGTGACTTCAACCACCCTGACATCTGTTGGAGCGACAGTATGGTCCGGCACAAGCAATCCAGGAGGTTCCTCGATTGTGTAGAAGGCAACTTCCTTCTGCAAGTAATAGAGGAGCCGACAAGGAGAGGTGCCATGCTTGACCTCGTGCTCACCAACAGGGAAGGGCTTGTTGGAAATGTGATGCTCCAGGGCAGCCTTGGATGCAGCGATCATGAGATGGTCAAATTTGAGATCCTCAGGACAGTGAGAAGAGCATGCAGCAAGCTCACTGCCCTGGACTTCAAAAGAGCAGACTTTGGCCTCTTCAGGAACCTGCTTAGTAAGGTTCCATGGCATATAGCCCTAGAGGGCAGAGGGGCCCAAGACTGTTGGCTGATATTCAAGTGTCACCTGCTGCAAGCTCAGGAGTGTTGCATCCCAACCAGAAGGAAGTGCAGCAGGAAGGCCAGGAGACCTGCTTGGATGGGTAAGGAGCTCCTGAGGAAAATTCAATTGAAAAAAGAGGCTTATAATAAGGGGAAGCAAGAACAGGTGGCATGGGAAGAGTACAGGGATGTTGTCCGGGAAGCTAGGGACCAAGTTAGGAAAGCTAAGGCTCAGTTAGAATTAAACTTAGCTAGGGGTATTAAAGATAACAGGAAGGGATTCTACATGTACATAGCAAATAAAAAACAGACTAGGGAGAGCGTAGGCCCCCTCAGGAAGCTCTCAGGAGAACTGGCTACACAGGATTTGGAGAAGGCTGAGGTTCTGAATGACTTCTTTGCCTGGGTCTTCACTGGCAAAGGCTCTGACCAAACCACCCAAGTCTTGGAAGGCAGATGCAGGGACTGTGAGAATGAAGACCTTGGGCCCACTGTAGGAGAGGAACTGGTTCGAGACCATCTTAAAAATCTGAATGTGCACAAGTCCATGCGTCCTGATGAGATCCATCCGCGGGTCCTTAGCAAATGAAGTTGAGAAGCCTCTGGCCATTATATTTGAGAAATCATGGCAGTCAGGTGAAGTTCCTGACGACTGGAAAAAGGGAAATATAACCCCCATTTTCAAGAAGGGGAAAATGGATGACCCGGGGAATTACAGACCAGTCAGTCTCACCTCTGTGCCTGGCAAAATCTTGGAGCAGATTCTCCTGGATGGCATGCTAAGGCACATGAAAATCAAGAAGGTGCTTGGTGACAGCCAGCATGGCTTCACTAAGGGGAAATCCTGCCTGACCAATTTGGTGGCCTTCTATGGTGGGGCTACAGAACCAATGGACAGGGGTAGAGCAGTTGATGTCATCTACCTGGACTTGTGCAAAGCGTTTGACACTGTCCCACACGACATCACAGTATCACAGTATCACAGTATGCTAGAGATTGGAAGGGACCTCAAAAGATCATCTAGTCCAATCCCCCTGCCAGAGCAGGAACACCTAGATAATGTTACACAGGAATGTGTCCAGGCGGGTTTTGAATGTCTCCAGGGAAGGAGACTCCACAACCTCCCTGGGCAGCCTGTTCCAGTGTTCCGTCACCCTCACGGGGAAGAAGTTTCTTCTCAAGTTTAAGTGGAACCTCTTGTGTTCCAGTTTGTACCCATTACCCCTTGTCCTATCATTGTTTGCCACTGAGTAGAGCCTGGCTCCATCCTCGTGACACTCCCCCTTTATATATTTATATACACTAATAAGGTCACCCCTCTGTCTCCTCCAAACTATAGAGACCCAGCTCCCTCAGTCTTTCCTCATAAGGGAGATGCTCCACTCCCTTAATCATCTTTGTTGCCCTGCGCTGGACTCTCTCCAGCAGGTCCCTGTCCTTCTTGAACTGAGGGGCCCAGAACTGGACACAATATTCCAGATGGGGTCTCACCAGGGCAGAGCAGAGGGGAAGGAGGACCTCTCTCGACCTAGTAACCACCCCCCTTCTAATACACCCCAGGATGCCATTGGCCTTCTTGGCCACAAGGGCACAGTGTTGGCTCATGGTCATCCTGTCGTCCACTAGGACCCCCAGGTCCCTCTCCCTTACACTGCTCTCTAACAGGTCGTTTCCCAACCTATACTGGAACCTGGGGTTGTTCCTGCCCAGATGCAGGACTCTACACTTTCCCTTGTTATATTTCATCAAGTTATTCCCTGCTTAACTCTTCAGCCTGTCCAGGTCTCGCTTTAGAGACATCCTTGTCTCTAAATTGGAGAGACATCAATTTGATGGATGGACCACTTGGTGGATAAAGAACTGGCTGGATGGCCGCACACAGTTGTGGTCAATGGCTCAATGTCTGGCTGGAGACCAGTAACGAGTGGCATCCCTCAGGGATCGGTGTTGGGACCGGTCTTGTTTAACATCTTTGTCGCTGACATGGACAGTGGGATTGAGTGCGCCCTCGGCAAGTTTGCCAATGACACCAAGCTGTGTGGTTTGGTTGATACCCTGGAGGGAAGGAATGCCATCCAGAGGGACCTCGACACGCTTGTGAGGTGGGCTGATGCCAACCTCATGAAATTTAACCATACCAAATGCAAGGTCCTACACCTGGGTCGGAGCAATCACAGGCACAGCTACAGGTTGGGCAGAGAAGAGATTCAGAGCAGCCCTGCGGAGAAGGACTTGGGGGTGTTGGTTGATGAGAAAATGAACATGGGCCGGCAGTGTGCGCTTGCAGCCCAGAAAGCCAACCGTATCCTGGGCTGCATCAAAAGGAGCATGACCAGCAGGTGGAAGGAGGTGATCCTGCCCCTCTACTCTGCTCTTGTGAGACCTCACTTGGAGTACTGTGTGCAGTTCTGGTGTCCTCAACATAAAAAGGACATGGAACTGTTGGAACAAGTCCAGAGGAGGGCCACGAGGAGGATCAGGGGACTGGAGCTACTCCCATATGAAGACAGGCTGAGAAAGTTGGGGCTGTTCAGCCTGGAGAAGAGAAGGCTGCGTGGAGACCTCATAGTAGCCTTCCAGTATCTGAAGGGGGCCTATAGGGATGCTGGAGAGGGACTCTTCATTAGAGACTGTAGTGATAGGACAAGGGGCAATGGGTTCAGATTTAAACAGGGGAAGTTGAGGTTGGATATAAGAAGGAAATTCTTTCCTGTTAGGGTGGTGAGGCACTGGAATAGGTTGCCCAGGGAGGTTGAGAATGCTCCATCCCCGGCAGTGTTCAAGGCCAGGTTGGACAAGGCCTTGGGTGATATGATTTAGCGTAAGGTGTCCCTGCCCACGGGAGGGAGATTGGAACTAGATGATCTTAAGGTCCTTTCCAACCCTAACGATTCTATGATTCTGTGATTATATAATATTTTGTTACTATAATTATGTGAAACTGGAAAGTCAAAATGAGCCATATCAGAAGGGAATGTTTCAATTCTTCCATTAAAAATCTGATGGAATAGATACATTTCTGCCCACATATTTGCAGTTAAAACAGCATTTCCTGGGGGAAGGTTTTGACTAGCTGCATTAACCAGCTATTTCCTCCAGTGACCAAACTGATGCAGATAACCTCCCCACCAAAACAACTGGGTCTGTTAGTAAACAGAAAAAAAGAAACTGCTAAATCAAAAGCCATATCATTTCAGCATTTCAGCGGATCAGCGGTCCTAGCAGTGATATGCTGCCTGTGCAATAAATCATTTTACAAAACCCAACTCAGAGCAAGCCATAAGGACAGGTCTCAACAAATGACTAGATGAAAAACAGGACTGAATAATAATTTGCAGAGGGAATTTTGAAAATGTTGATATATTTATAAATGAAGGACACTAAGAAAATTAATCCTCAACACTGAAAAGTAATAAAAAAGAAGAAAAAAAAACAGATGGGAAAAAGGGCAGAATAGTGACAAGGAATCAAAGTTCCACAATGTTTTGAAAGAAATAACTGAAGTTTTCAGCAGATGCGAATTCAAGTGCACTGACGACACCACTTCACCACAAAGATTTCCATCGTATGCTCTTTCAGAGTTCCCACTGAAACACAACACTGCTCAAACTGAAAATGGAATGCTGGCAATTAGCAATAGTTCCATGAATGCGTTTATAGGCACAGAACAATTGAGGCACAATTGGCCACACACTGTTGGGAGTCACAGTACAGAAATCCTGATGGAAAAAACATTGCCTGTGCTGCAGAAAATGATCATGAAATTGCAGAAGTATTATTAGGCTGGCTGAAGAACAGAATCTTTAGAGAGTTTTCACCTATAAAAAGCAAAAATGAAGAGCTGTAGGAAGTAGTACAAGGGCAGCATGTTCTACAAACAGAAACCACCATAAAACAGTAGGCTGGATATCCCAAATATAAACACCCCCTGGTGTTTATAACTTTACAAACTGCGCTAAACACCCTGTTTTGACCATTCACTGTTGCTCAGGGTAAGGAGGGCAATTTGAACGGGAAGCTGAATGCCACCACACCAGCACCACAGGAAATTCCCAATTATCCTTAATTCTAGAATAGCACAGTGAAGGACTCCTCACATTTTCTTCAACTGAGCTGTCACACAATATCGAAGTAAATAATGCTGTAACTTGAAACAGGTTTTTTAACTGTACGCACAGGCATAAACAAAACAGGCCTCCAGGAGACAGGATCCCTGCTCATGTAAAACTGCTCAAGTGTTTTGTTTGCCCTCAGACTGATTTCTCTTCAGCAGAACCATGGGGTTCTGCAAGTCATTCCTGCAGCCCTCAGCATGGGTCCTGCATTAGCTGCAGTTCAGCTGGGTTAGGAATGCACATTATTATGAACCCTGGTTACCAGTGGGGACTTGCACAGGAGCTGAGCAGAGCTGCGCTCAGGATACCAAAGCATTGGGATTATTACAAACTGCTGCTCTAGTAGTTCTAGAAGTTTGTCTGCATTGAAGGTTAGAAATATGAATAAGAGATTTACAGTGTCTATGTCTCATCAGCAAAATGAACCTAACCTGCAACTCTTGGGACTTCCAAATTTATAATCTAGCTCTAGGCAACTGTAATAACTTTCAGAGTCTGCGAAAAATATTGACATTAAAACACAGTTAAAAATTAAGCTGATACCAATAAAATACACAGTTTAAATTAAACTCGTCTCTTTAAAGACTAGTTTATCTACATTTATATATATTTTTTATCATCATTAGCATTTATCATATTAACATCATATTTTATCATAACTTATCATTTTCAATTTTTTTTGCTTCCCAGTTTTGTAGTTTGGAAGTACACATGACAAAAAAAACTTGATTATATAAAAAGAAGAAAATGGGAAAACAATACGCACAGATTACTATCAGAAACATAAACAATCATTTTTTTTTTTTAATGGCTTTACTTTCTACTTTGAAAGGGTGTTTACAACCACTTTATGAGAAACTGAAAGGAAAAAATTCCTCAGGAGTGGAGGGGAGGGACACTTTATTTTTCATTTGTTCTTGTAATTCCCATCTATACGTGATCGCTATGCTTTTTCTCTCCCAGAGAGGCCATTCCAAATGAATTTGCAGCTGCTAAATGAGGGCAGACATTCCCATCTTCTCATAGTTCATAGACCAGCTAATAGACAAAAGTTGCGCAAATAAATCACACACAGAGAAGCTGAGTAAGTCCTGCTGGAGGAGAGGTTACTTAACACAGAGTGAGGAGAGAACCCACCAGTACAGGTAAGACACACCGAGAGATAAACATTAAAACGCTGCTGCTTACCAAGGCCAGCAATCTGCCATCCTCCTTCATAGCCAGAAAACGATTTGCACTTACGCCTTTGATTGACACCACTCCTCGTTCTTCTGCCTGAAGTTGTAGCTTGACTGTGAGCAAAAAAAAAAAAAAAAAAAAAAGACAAAAGTAAAATTTCTCAGCCATTGTTATATTTCAGCATTTGACAGTGAAGCCTATGGCTTCCAACCTGCACGCAAAGAAAGACTGAGCTTCAGCTTGCAGCAAAAGTAGTAAACTTTCTGATTGCATTTTTTATCACAGAAAATGCTTATGACAAAGTAAGTACCTATTGTCAAATTGACAACAATATTCTTCCATCTTCACATCAGAGCAACTGAAGAACCCGTATTACTCCTCCAAGGACCACGTGTGGCACCAGCAACTGCTCACAGAAATGGAGATTTTTCATGGCAATTTTCTTGCAGATATTTCTTAATGTTTACAGAACAGTACCAGACACAGAGTGCACACAGCTTTACAGGGCTAGATCCTCGGTGAGGCTCAAGCCTGGACTGTGACCAAGGCCATTCAGGACCATATCACTCACTAAATGCTCAACAGCAAAGTGCCAATCATACATCCAACAATGGGTCAGAATAAACCAACAGAAACAATTGCAGAAGTCGATGAGAGCAGCAAAGACACAAGAAAATGGTGTTATACAAACACCACTGAAAAACAATAGTGTTAGGAACATGAGAAGTAGGTTTATTTGAATCAATTACTTTCAAAAAAAATGACCAGTCATGGTTTTTTGAAAATCTGTAATATCATCTCACGTAGCTTTCAACTACTGCCTTTGAATTAACACAAAGCCTAAACCTATTTTTCTAGCCACAAATCACATGCAATAGTTCAGATTAACACACAAGTGCTTTCCCTTTGCCTGTGGCTTGTTTCAAGCTACAGATACAAGCCCAAAGTGGCCTCCACCTAAATCCAGAAGAGCTATTTGTTTTTTACCTTCTTTTTTCTTCCCTGATTGCTCACATGGTTGCATTCAAAACAACAAATGAATGAAGCCTTTAAGTGGTTACAACAGTAGAGCTAGGAAGTTGCATCTATACTGCATTTCTGTCTCACCTTAACAGGCATACATGCGATGCTGTACCACAAAGTTCAGGTTTTTCATCCATTAACTAATACTACAGGATGGGGATGGGGAATACTACAATATAAAGACTACACCAAATGCCATAGAAAAATCCACCAGATACCTCTGCTCTCTACATGACTTAGCTGTTTGTGGCTCAAAAGAAATCTAAACACTGCGGTAGAACTGCTATTTTTCTGGAGAAGCAGAGAAGGAAAAGTAACCAAAGTATGTGTTGTCCTAAACCTCACAGAAGATCTTGTTTTACTCCAATGGAATTTAGAATATCTCCCTCTGAAAACCTATCTTTGATTATATAAAATGTGACTTTTGAAGGCCATTACAGCAGCTCATATGAGCTCTTTGGACTGCCTGAAGCTTCCTCCTCCATCACAGAAAATACAGGCCCATTCCCTGCAGCTCCATCCCCCTGAGCCCACTTGCACAAGCAGTACAATTCAACCCGATATCAAGCACAACCATTTCAGTAACAGCAGAACACAAGAAATTTTATTCCCCAAAGCCTTCGGTTTTCCTCTAATGTGGGAGGCCTCCAGTGAAATCTGCATCTGCAAAGCTCTCAGTTGGAGCAGGGAGAAGCAACCCACATGAGTATTCTTTTTTTGTGCAACACCGTGATTCATGTACAGAGTTCTATTAAACAGGAATTTTTAAGAGCAACTCTACAGCTGTAACAGGAAGCAAGATCATTGCAACACAGGCATCAAAAATGTAGAGCAGTTGAGAAACAGCGTCTCACCTCCTTAGAATGTATACAGACATAAAAGACTTTTGCCGAAGAACTGCATGAGCTAAGGAATGAACATGCAAGATGTCGCAACCTGGTACTGGCTGTGTGGTCATCAGGTGTCCAAACGAAGGACACAACTCATCTGGTGCGAGACTACTGGTGTTTCCAAAAAACAGCCAGACTGAACTTCTCCTTCCTTCAGCTTGCATCCCAGAAATTATCTTGAGAATTAGTTCAAAACATTTTCTATTTGAACACACTTTACAGAGATCTGACCATTGTGAAAGCCCAGCTAGAGGAACCGACAGCTGTCCTGCACTCAAAAGGATTTGGCCATTGACTGGCATCAGTCTGTGTTTGTCCATTTCTTTGTTTGAAGGGTTCACAAGAAACAGCAAGACTGGTATCACTCCTTGGTGGGGAAGGACTGATGGGCAATACTCAGACATGGGCTTTACTAGCCACCTGCTTCTGTGAAGTATATAGGTTTTTTCTGTTTAATGATGCAGTCTTTAAAAACCTGACCTTTTAAGCCACCACAATAAACACCTGAAGCGACCATAAATCATGGAGCAGGAGCATCTCTTGAGATTCAGAGGAAGTTTGCTGTGTATTTGTCTTTTTGTTGTGGGGAAGAATAGACTTTTGCAATACAAATGAAAGCTTTCTTAATTTACTTTCGTTGCTCCTAAAGACAGGACTGAAGAAACTCCAACAATAAGAATACGAGGAACATTAAACCCTCAGAATAATTGTTGCAAGCCCTCTTTTAAGCATTATTTCATCTGATTTTTCCCTAGATACAGACATCAGTAAGAGCTGCTCATAAATCCACTAATTAGTATACACAACTGAAGCCATACTAATAGAAATGCTGCACTTTAAAGAAGATAAAATGTTTTCTTACGAATTATGTGTCTGTTGGCATTTCAGACAAATAAAAAAAAAAAAAAAGAAAACAACAAAACAACCTCTCATAATTCACTAATAACTCCAGGTTTCCAAGGAACACAGAAACCTCTGTAGTCATAAAAAGTTAGGTGAAATGTTTAACTTCACCCCAGAACCATGTACACAAAATACAGCCCTCCCAATTTATTAATCCAAAATCAGACTTGTGAACAGCTTCAAAAAACTCCAGTGCAACTTCTAACCCTCTGGGGAAGCAGGAATGTGGGGAAGTGCTCTGGGCAATGCCTGGGGGAAAAGGACTTTCAAGGTGTGCCCAAGCATACAGTGTTCACTGCACTCTTAACTAGGAACACCTGCATGAAATAGCAGGAAAGTAATATGAATTACTGCAGTATGGACCTATGAAAGCTTCTTGACTTTCTCCTAACAAAAAAAAAAGCACAACCAACTCCTATGGCATCATACTGGGCCAGTTGTTCAGATTCTGTAAAAATAGACTTTTAGTAAATGCTTTTAAAGCCTGTAAAAATATTTGTGTAGTTTGGAGAAATGCGTGAAAAGTGTTACTCTTTAAAAATAAAAGGGAGAAGACATTTTCCTGCAGTTTCAAGATCACTGCCACACTGAAAGCCCCCAAAGCAAATTCACTGATTTTCTTTTCCTACTCAATAAGCAGAGACAGAATATCTGTGTAAGGTTTTCTGGTTTCAGTGTTACTTTACGGCTTTATTAATGCCATTTGCCACAGCACTATGTTGATGAAGACGCCAAGGTACAACACAGCCTTACTAATCAAACATATTTTTACCACGTAGTCATCACCAGAAGCAACAGTTTTAGGGGTTTTCTCATTGCAACTTGTACAGTCGGCCACAAGAGAAACCTAACACTCGACACTGTAACCATGTCTTTTGCAGCCTTTAGGCGAGCCTTTAGTTCAGACACAGGCCATCATTTCAGATCTACTCATAGTACTTATTTTCAGCATAACTGAACCTCAAAACCAGATCCATGAAAGTAAACTAATTAAGAAGTTTTTAATCCAAAACAGTAGCACAGATTGTTGTGAAACAGGTAATTAACTGAGAGCCAAAAGGTCCCATTTTCCGAGTTATTCTGGCAGCCCTTTGGGAGGACCCCACTCCAGAGCAGCAGTAAATTCACATTCACAGCCTGCCCTTTAACATCTGATGAACACTAAGCGTAAGGCTGTGGTCAATGCCTGCTGGTTTTGCGACAGCAGAGATCTCAGTACACCAAGCATACACTTTGAAGACTGAGGCTAAATCCTCACAAATTAATGAAACAAGAAAACACCCTAGCCCAATTATAACCTACACTACCTTTATGCACTGACAACTAAAAAGGACTCTGTAAATTTTCTACTGCTATTAAGACTCTCTTTTGTATCTCTTCATAATAAGCCAAGGTATGATCACCTTCCCTTTTTCTGCTAAGTAAGAAGAAATGAAGTAGAAGACATAAAAGTTTTTCTTCATGTCAGGGTGGAAACTCTGATGAAGAAGGATAAAGCTGTACATTTGAAAGATACAAAAATGCTTAGAAAACATGAATGGAATAAAGTTAAGACACTGAACTATAATTCAGGAGATGGATTTAAAACATTCCCCTGACATAAACCTCTAACACTGTAAGATAAAATTATTAAAGCATCCTAAATAAAACTCTCATTTGAGCCATTTCCTTGTTCCTGTATTGAGCACAACCACAAACATTCTACTGAACAAATGAATCTGTTAACAGAATGTATTTCATGGACACAACACCATGGTCTATAGTACTGCAGTGAAGGTTTTCCCAGAAGAAAAGATACCAAGCCCAGAAGCAGCCACTGTACAAGCCGTACAGTTAAAGATGAAAAACCAAATGTGGCATCATAACAGGAAAGAGAACAAACGCATAAAGACAAAATTCTCAACCCAAAATTAAAATTAATCAGTATGTATTTATAGCCTGCAGTACAGAAGGCATTAAACAAATTTTTAACCAGAAGGTGACTGTTTCAAAGTTACCTCGCTCAAAAGCAAGAAACACCTATAAATGTTCCCATTATAGGGAAAAGATATACAGGATCTGACAATATACCATGAACAAATCTCTCCTTGCTCACTTTGCCCATGGCATCAGGTGATCCCATCACACTCTTCTCCTTGGAACCATGCTTTCCAACTCTTCTATGCCATAATAAACACAGGAGTAAAGTCCTACTGTCTGTGCCACGGTCCTTCTTAGTGAGCTCACCCACACAACAGAGTACCACTACCCCACAGGGAAGATAGTAGAACTGCAGTTTTCAGCACAGGAAGAGCATG